CTTCACCGTCTGAGGTGCTGATAAAGGCACTTCCCATACCTACACTTACTTGCATTTAATACCAAAATAAATTTTGTTCAGTGTATGGGAATTTTTTACCCCTCCCAAAGTAATAATCCCATAAGAAAAAAATTGAGAAATAGAAACTCTCCATAACAACAGAAAAGCCTTATGCCACAGAAGCAGCGACTGGAGTCAGCAGATGGCTTATTCCAGGGATGCTCTTCCCCACAGGGTGGCAGCAGTGGGCCCACACAGTGCCTCAGCCCCTGTCCACCTGTCTGCACACATTTTTTTCATCTTTCGCCTTTCTATTTAAGCCAAAAGCACATTTGGCCCCTACTCTTTGGGTACAGAAATTCCTTGGTCATCTCAACATGTACATGCTTGTGACCCCCAGGTTTCTAACTCCGATCCTCCCCCCAGTGGCATAATTGCAAATGTCTGTTCACCAGCTCTACTTAAGGACCAAGTATGTTTTTCAAAGTCAACATTGCTAAAACTAAAACTTTAATTTCCAAATCTTTCAGGAATTCGGCTTCAAACTTCACCCTTTTATTCTGCATACATGTTCTTCCATGATTTCCTCTATCCTGTAGCTTTAAAACCAGTCTTCATGCGTATGACTAACAAGTTTAATTTCTAGCTGAGTTTTCTACTTAGGTCCCATCTTTCTCTCCTAAATTCTAATATGTTAAATGTTGCATGGCTAAGACAAGACTTACTTTCAAATCTGCTACGGCTCTGTCTTCCCCATTCTATGTCATAATTCTGAATGTTGCTCCCATCTAAACTCTAATACCCACCATCACCTATTCAGTCATTGTTCATTTTTTAAACTAATCAGACTAGGGCCCTCCCTGGTGGCGCAGCGGGTTAAAGCACAGCACTAAGAAGCTAAAGCCACTTCAGCATGAGTTCGATCCCCAAACCAGAGGTGACCCAGATGGCATGGCAGACCTCTCCTGACCTGCCTGCACCTCCCCTCAGCAGTGTACTTCATAGATCTGCCTGTTCTACTCCCGACTCTGTCTCTGGTGAAGCCCCTCACTGCCCCCGCACCTCTCGCCTACACCCCAGTTCTGTGTATGCACAAATAAATAAATCTTTAAAAAAAATAATAATCAGAATAAGCTCACATACATCTACCTGCATATGTATAGAGCATTTCTAGAAGGATAAATAAGAAATTGGTCATACTTTTCACTCTATCAATGTTATGCCGTGTGACTGTACCACCTATTAAAAAATCAAAATCAGTAAATTATCACTTATAATACAAAACTTCCTTATAAACTCCAGTTCCCTGAAAAGCTTCACCTTACCAGCAAGACTCATAATACAAATCCATCACCATTAACCATTTCTTTATCTGACAAGGAGCTGTGAGATTAACAGTGTATCAGGGTCCTCTCTGGTGGCACAATAGGTTAAAGCACAGCACTATGAAGCTGTCACAGCCACTGCAGCACGAGTTCAACCCCCAGCCAGGGAGTTGACCCACAGGGCACAGCAGACCTCTCCTGACCCACCCACTGCTCCCCTCAGCAGTGTACTTCAACACATCTGCCTGTTCTGCTCTCCACTCTGTCTCTGGTGTATCCTCTCACCCTCTGCACCTCTAGCCTGTAGCCCAGTTCTTTTGTGCTTAAATAAATGAATCTTTTTTTTAAAAAAAGTGTATCAGTCTGGGCACAAAAGAGACAGAACCAAGAAATAACTATATTGGCATAATTATGTAGGTGTTGATTTTTATTATGCCACTAAAATTTAAATTCTGGGAGTGTGTTCCACATCATTTCACTATTAGACCTGTCCCACAATTTCAATTGTGAAAACACTTCTAATACCCAATACCTCGAAATGTGGCCTTAACGGCTGCTGTATTACAAGACTAGAACAACTAGGACAGACATGAATAGAAGGTGGTGAAGAGATAGAAACAAGACATAAAAAACACCTACACTCAAGGAAATGCCAGTCTTCCCTCACAACACTAACTGCCCTGCCTTCATCTCAGGCTTTCAGCTCCAGAACTGACACAAGTCCCACTTAAGCCACTCAGTTTGTTAGTTTCTGGCAACCTCAGAATACTAATAAAATTATAAACAGAAGTTAATTGTCCTGACTAGTCGTCTCAGGAGACAAATTATTTAAAAAGCATGTAAGGATTTTTTCATCTCACTAAAGGTACACTTAAATATTTCTGGAAGTTTGTTAAATCTAAGAACAAATATTCTACTGCTAGAGGCTGACCAACAGAATCACCTGCACAGGGTTTCCTAAACAGTTCACAGGTTGGCTGTGAACTGCCTAGGTTGGCTGATTATGGAAATAACCTGATGGAAAAAATGGAATCAGAGACTTCACCCGCAGACCAATTCAGAATTTCTGAGGAAAGCATTAGATATTTCTAGAGTGTTTCTCCACTTACTTGGGTTCTTCTCATTAGGTCTCTTTTGTATTGCTTCTGTTGAGCTAGGTGATCCCATTCTTTATTTGTGCAAGTTAATTTTTAAGTGATGGGCACTTTTTCCTCATCACAGATACACTGAAGTACCCTTTTATTCCTTCAACACTTCTCTTTGGAAGCCACCAGGCCACTGTCTTAGAGAAGATATGTCATACCTAATGAATGCATACATGCCCTTAGAGCCTAAAGTTTCCTTTCTAAAAATTCATTTAACATTTACTAAGCAAATGCAAGTCAGAGTAGGCACTGGGAATAAAGGTAAATAAACCAGCTTCAAGCTATGAAGGCAGTAAATTAAATATATTAAACAATTCAAACACAAACGACTTTCTATCATAAAAGTTCTGTACTGTTGATATTAAAACCTAGACACACACAATTCAGCTTGTGAATGAGAAGCTGGCATGCAAATCAAAACGTGATTCAAAGGGAGTAGTATTTAGCTTACCCTTACAGAAAACACAAGTATACAAGGGGACGGTCAGGTCCCTGGTAATTTGCATGTTCACAGAAGCACAAAACCATACCCGTTAGGTAGCAGGTACAGCTATGCCCTAGAGGCACACCAAAAAGCATGGGAAATCAATCCTAGAGAATTGGAATGAACCACATAAGACCTATTACATCAGGTTTAGGTGTTTTTTTTTTTTTTCTTCATACTATCAGTTACATTCTAACGCAAGCATCCCACCAAGACAGTAAGGTAGGGAAGTTCATGGTGGCTTCGGTTCTTTAATGGGGACTGACATAAGGCTTTACCTAAATTCCTGGATCTTCTCAGCACCTCTAACTCTGAGTGAGAATTTCACAGCCCAAGACAAGATGCCAACTGATCAAGGCCTTGGTAGGAACAAGTTAACTAGATTGAAATTTATTTTTTCATTGTCCTCCACAAGTTTTTTTTTCCTCCAGCTAAGTTGGGACATTTTTTTCAATCGTTGTTAACTTTTAATGAACAAAATAACAAATTACATTTGATTTTACTTCAGAAATGCCAGCAAGAAAAACTCAGCTAAGTTTCTAGAACCGGATTCCTGATCTTTTCACTAATTTTATTGCATTTTGAAATTACAGTTGATTATGCCTTAAAAGTATAACATTTTTCTTTAGTAAATTATCCTGAATTCTCAATTTCATCTGTTTTGCTGCTTGGTATTTAATTTACCAGCCCTTAGAGCTGCAAGATTAAAATAAGATTTAAAGGCATTAAATTATACTCAGAAGTTTTTCTATATCTTAATTCTCTGAAAATCTAAGTATCACTGTCAACAACCCAGTTACCAGGGACAAATAAAACAAATTTGCATTATTATATCAACTCCATTTGTTTAAAACCTTCCAATACACTGTGTGATATTCCTTAATCCTCATATTAAGCACTAGAAAACCTAAGTTGGTAGTAGTAAGTGGTGTTTAAACATGTCCAGCTCCACATCTATTGTTCTCTTTTTAATCCCCAGGCAGTGGGGGACTTTTGCCACTCTCCCAGGGATTGCTCAGCAACACTGAGTCATTTTTAAGGATCACTTCTTCTTGGGAGAGACAGTACCATTGGCACCTAGTGGGTAGATTCCAAAACGCTGATAAACATACCGTGTGTAGGGTGGGTCCCCCAAAACAAAAATCACCTAGTTCAAAATGTTAAATTTGTGGTCGAGGGCCCTCTCTGGTGCATAACGGGCTAGGACGCAGCACAAGCTAGTAGCCGCTTTCAGTGTAAAGCAGTTGATTCCTGGCCCAGAGGTGACCCGCATGATGCGGCAGACCTCTCCTGACCCGCCCACTGCTCCCCCAGCTGTGTACTTGTCTGTCAGCTCTGCCTTCCACCCCACCACACACCCCCACCCCTGTCTCTGGTGAATCCTTTCACCGCCCCTGTACCCCTGGCTTGTACCCCAGTTCTGTATGCATAAATAAATAAATCT